ACCGAGCTAGCTCGGTAATTAAGCCCCGCAGCCCGACAACTACCATTGAGCGACTGTTCTTGCGAGTTCCCGGGCCTCCGGGCTTAATTGCTGCGCTCCGGGCTTAATTACCGAGCTAGCTCGGTAATTAAGGATTTTGCAGCAGAAACCCGGCCGAAAAGTAGTGCCGAACCCTTGAGTTCAGGGGTTCGGCGCGACTTTTGGGCCGGATTTCTGCTGCAAAATGGGCCTCCGGGCTTAATTACCGAGCTAGCTCGGTAATTAAGCCCGGAGCGCAGTAATTAAGCCCGGAGGCCCGGGAACTCGGATTGGTCAGCATTGGTCGGGAAAATCACTATCCACCTGAGGCAATAAGGGCTGCAACTTCACAAATGGTTCTGAGCAGGTTCTCCGGGTCTCCAGCACTACCACATGTATATGTAGCTCGTGAGCTCGTGATCCATCCATCCTTGCATCCATCCATCCGTCCTTCCATGCATCCATACATCCACACTATCCAGACATCTACATATCCATACGCATACATACATACACATACATACATACATACATACATACATACATACATACATACATACACACATACATACATACATACATGCATACATACATACATACCACCCATCCATCCATCCATCCATCCATCCATCCATCCATCCGCCCTTCCATGCATCCATACATCTACACTCTCCAGACATCTATATATCCATACTTACACATACATACATACATACATACATACATACATACATACATATGTAGTTCATAATAAATACATATATGCATACATATGCATATGCATATGCATATACACTGATACAATTTTGCACGTCAGCCAATCACCCCCTATACAACCTAAAACCTGTAGCCAGCCCTAAGTTCCCTAAGCCGTAAGCATGAGCTCTGTATCCGCCTAAACCGAACCCGAAACGCCTAAACAGAATGCCAGGATGGGCCAGGATCAGAAATTATCCCAAACCTGAAATGACCTCGTGTCTAACCGCATCCTACTGAAGCAGAACCTGCTGACAAACGCTAGTGTAGCACAGGTCTTGGGCTTATTCACTGCACCCACCCCTAATAGCCGGTGGGTTTCGGAAGTCCACATTCCTAGCAATGTATCAAACCAGGGTTGTAGCTTTAGTGTCTGCCAGATACACAACACTCCAGGCCAGGACATAGCAAGGCAGCTGAGAGACGGGCATATGCCTCCGCCATGCACGCCACCAGCGCGGGGCCGGCCTAGGAAGAGGGTCGCCCTCATGCTCTCATGGGAATTGTCTGCATGTCCCCCTTCATCTTCAATGGCTCGTACCCCCGGACCTCGCGACCCGTTTGCCGTTCGATGTCCGCCCAGCCCAAAGACGGCTGGGTCTTGAGCCCCAGCGATGCGGGCACAGGCTGAGCTTAGGCTTAGACCATGCTTGGCTATGCGATTCGGGCGAGATTCGAGCTTTTATGGAAGCGAGGCCGCGAAGGGGCAGTCGCGTCGCATCCACAGAGAGAGAGAGAGAGACCACGAAAACGGTTGCCGATCTCGTTTTGCTGACAGCTGTCCTCGGTCTTTCGGCTACGGTTGCCTAATTTTTCTTCTTCTTCCCACCTTTTTTGGCGTCTTTGCTTGTGTCCTGGCCAGATCCCAGCGCTGTCGAGAAGGCTGGCAATCTCACATGAGCTCCTGAGCCTTTTTCGGCTTCGGCTCGTCATCGTCGTCTCGCTCTTTGGGTTCGAGCCACGCCACCGGATGCCTGTCAAAAACACAGCGGCAGGGAACGATTTGAGGCGGCCAGCTTGACCTGTTCCACATCGGCCAGGGCGGCAGGCACATGAGGGTCACAAAGAGCGTTGTACCTTTCAAGACCGCTCCTTTCTATGCATCTTAGAGTCGTCAGTGGTGCCAGAAAAGCAACCAAGCTGAGGAAGCGGCCAAATATCCAGAGAAACGTGAACAAAAACCTGTGCTCACGCTAGCAGCAATGTAAACCATCACGCAAAGCAATGACTGTTGAAAATACCGCTGCCTCTGCGCCAAGAAACCGTGAATGTAACCAATCACGCCTGATGTGCATGGCAAGGTCATGCCGTTTATGATCGCAGCTGAAAAACAAAAGGCTGCGGGCCAAGCCTGATGTCCAAATGAAGTAAAACTGCATGTTAAAGGCCTGGAGACATGTCGCGAGTGCCTTGTGCTGTACGGCTCCTTGTGCCGCTCAGGCTTCCAGCCTGTTTCTGGCCCACGAAGTCCATGCTGCCCGCTTTCAGCATGGCGTAGAGCTCAAAGACTGAAGCCACGAGCCAAGCTTAAGGAATCTGTCTAGAGACGAGGGCACTGCACACGCTACCTCCCACCATCGTCGCGGCGCTGTGGAACGCCCGAAGGAGGCGCTGTCAGCAAAACTCCTACATATCTAGTCTTGAGGCTGTACCGTCCACATGGAAGCGATTGAGCACAAGGGAACTCAGCCCAGATGTGCAAATCAAAGCTCGAATCCGGCTACGGCCATCTGTCACTGTCTGTCATGCCCCCTCGTCACAGCGCATTTTTTCCCATGTTTCGGGCCACGGGAGTCGGAGGCACCGCGTTGGACGTGGGCAGTCCCTTGCAATCGCCAACAGCTCCGCTGGCTGTGGTCTCTGAGTTGCGAGTGCCCGATGTCCTTGTGTGACACGGAGACGATGTCCATGAGCTATTTTTCAGCTAGATCTCAGGAGGACAGCTCAATGCTACAGCCCTCGATGCATCTCAGAAGGCGGGGCAAACACGGACTCTGGATCCATCACTGCCCATGCAGACCACCGGCATCATGTGCATGCTGGCGAGCAGGGGCACACATACATTTGGTTGGCAAAAGCAGGGTAACAACGAGACTGCCGAGAAATTGCTTGGACAAATTGCATCGATGAGGTGAAACTTGTGGTCGGCTCTGCTTAACAACTTGATCATCTGAGTCAGCTTCCCCAGCAACACTGGCTGGACACTGGTAGTACACCAGCATACTAAGTCGCATGCGGCACGTGCAGCCCGCGCCTTGATGACAAAGCGATGTCATCGAAGACTATCTGGGGGCTCAACAGAAAAGCTCGTCTCGTCTTGCTTCACAAGATAGGGAAATATGGGCTGGGCAGGGCCTCTGCCGGCTCGGAGTTAATGGCAAACGCCAGAGTTCCGAAGGGCAGGTGCAAGCCACGAAGATCCACCTCTCGAAGGGCGGTGGCGCGGCTTCAAGCAGCTTATGCAGGTAAAGAGAGCTAGGGCTCGCTTTGCCGCCTCGACGTGCACAAAGTCGCCTTCCTTCAACATCCGGTCGCCACCTGCGGAGCAGCAAAGCGGAGCCCACCGGTTTTCGGGCCCCTGCATCTGGCAGCTTTTGTCTTTCGGATGGAAACTCCGCGCCGCGTACACCCTTGCCACCGCTTTTGCGGCGGCTCTCTGGGCCGCTGGCATGCGGTTGTTACATTCTACATTGCACGGTTTGAAAGCGTGCGAAACTGCGAAACGACCAACCACGGGCTGGAAGCCGTTCCAACGCAATGTACAGGAGTTCCCAGCAGAGGCCGTCGCTTTGGTGCTCGCTTTTGGCTCCAATGGACAGCCCTTTCTGGCCCCTCCTCCGCAAATTCCACTCCACAGCTCCGGAAGCATCACTTGGCCGTGACGGCTGCGTCCTGCAAAGCACTCGTGGCAGCGTGTAACGGCATAGCAGTTGGGCATCGGACTCGCTGAGCATCAGTTCAGGCTCCGTGTCTGGATTGAAGCTGCTGACAACACAGTTCCCAGGAAACTCCATGACTATCTGCAAGGACACCTCAAAGAACATCGCAGACAGACGCTTGCGGTATAAACGATGCCTGCCGTAAATCTGGCCAAGGCACCGAACCCAGCGGCGGCTTTCCTTTCTCCACTCGCAGCACATTGGTACCAACCATCACGAAGTCCGCCTCGAAGTTGTTTGCCTCGTGGAGCCAGGAGGTTGAAGAGCGTTCCGTAAATGCAGAGCCGAGTCCGCGGCATATCGCACCAGCGCCTGGGCTATGCCCTCGTTGATTCCTTGCGGTGCAAAGACCTCAGGAAACGGCAGGCGGAGAGCATCGGAGAGCATCCTGCATACGCTCAGAGAAGGAGGCTCCGGGCCAGCTTCACGATCCGGTCCTTAAACTTCACCATCTTCCCGCTCGGCCAGGCTGCGGCATCTTGCATGCCTCCCCAAAAAAGAAATGAGATGCGAAAGTCAGGAGTTGCGAAGAGGCCACACGCTCCTTCGAAGATGGAGTCGTACTTGTGCCGGATGGCCTGTGTGACCTTGCTCTCCTCCCAAAGAGCATGTGAGGAGGTCAGTGCAAGGATGCTTCGAGGATTGGTCCTTCGAGTGTGGCTCCAGGTAGGGTCTGATGTAGACCACGTGGATGTGGTCTCCTTCACCACAGCGCGGTGACAGTCTCTGCGACTACAGACAAGTCTGTGCCTGGGCGAGATAGGCGGAGCGCATCTATGAAAGCTTTCGTGGCTGCAGGGTTTAGACCAGTGGACACGACGAACTTCGCCTTCGCGCAAGGAACCACAGAGCGCCAGTCGCCAACTGGTGCAGATGAGTTCCAGTTCAGTGAAGCAGCTGGCCGCTTGAGCGGCAACTTGCTTGGGTCGGCTTCTTTGAACACCTTGATTGTCGAAACTCTCTGCATCAAATTGCTGTGTCCTGATATAAAGGGAGACAGGTAATCATCTTGCGAATTGGGGGGACACTCACATCCGGCAGCCGAGCATCAACACAACTGCACTTGCCCCGCTGCATCACCTGTCACGGTCTGTCACTCGGCAAATCAGCTCCATGAAGGGCCGAGGCAGAGGCCTCCAGGACATTGGAGCCGATGAGGTGCCTGTCCTTACCTGTCGAAGCCAACACCCATCTTCTCACTTCAGCAAGAGAAGAGGGGTCTCCTGCCTTTGCGTCCCGCAAAGCCCATCACACAGAAGCTCGTGCCCTGGTCCTTGATGTCCTGCCATTCGGTCTTCAACATTTTACACAAAACGATTATCAGTTGAAGAATAAGATGTGTGTATCCGTTCCTGGCAGAGGAGCACGCCAATCTTTACCCCGGGACTTCTCTGACGAACACCTGAAGACACACGACAAGGGCTGCCACCCAGATGTCTTCCGTAAGCCCAAGCTGCAGCAGAGCGGCTGATAGCGTATCGCTTTGAAACCAAGTAAGAGGTGCACTTGGCTTCCGCATCCTCAGAGTCTGGACCCAAGGCTTCGGGGTCGGATCTGGTCCTGTTCGGAACTCTTTCCGGCCAGGCTGCTGCTTGGATGGCATTTCTCCGCCACTTTGGTGGGAGGTACTCCTGAACTCACTCGCATTCTGCAACGGCGTCAACAACCCAGGCCTCGCCTTCGTGTCGTCATAGTAGTGAACCTTGTCGCGTCTAGGCTGTCGCATGCTGATGCGTAAGATGCAGCCGCGTAGGGCCAGGACAATAAGAAGATCTGTTTCGCGGTCGCTTTGGGTGAAGCCATGGAGGACCCACTCGAAAGCGCAAGAGGACTGGCAGCGATTGGGGTTGGCCACCAAAAATTTCCGCCAGGTTCCGTCCGGGCCTGGTCCGAGCCGTCCACGCTCACCAAGACCCGAATGTGTTGGTGCAGCAGTTGGTCAATCCTGTCTTCGGAGAGCAGCGCAGACAGAGTTGCGTTAAGACTCTCAGTTAAGGAAAGCTGCTTCTCACAGTCGATCCACGCCGCGTTCTCCATTGCTGTAGTGCCCGAGGCCATGCTCTGCATCAGTCAGTCTTGTCTGCTCAGTCTGTTCATCCTATGGCGTTCTTGTTTCTATCATGGTGGATCCAGGCTTTCTTCTGCAGAATCTGCAAAGTTTGGTAGACCTTGGAGCTGCCGAACCGAGCAGTAATTTCTGTGTGGCGACTTGCTGGGCAAGAACTGCAAGTCCACTGAAAGGGCAAGTTGAAGCGCTGGGAGTTGCAGCAAAGGCCTGGACGCTCTTGCCAAGGATCCTGCGTGTTTTAGCTCTTATGTGCTCGGCGATCTTATGTGACTACGTAGTTATCTGCTTGCCTCTCTGTAAGAACAGTCTATGCAAATATCTTGCACGGATACCAACCAAGTTTGTACGGAACAAACGACTAAGACAATACACAAGTCAACAACATGATAAAGTGAGCAAACAGATAACTGGACGAGTAAAGACAAAAGTACTTGTCCACGCAAAGACAGAAACAATCAACAAAAAAGCACATCAACATCCAAACTAAAGGAAACAGAACTACTGCCGAAGTACAAGTATGTGTGTGTGTGTGCATGCACTTGTGCTTAAACTGCCGAAATTACGAGCAGGAGCATGTCAGGGTCTGCTGATGCCTCGTCACGAGCACGGGAGCAGCGAGTAGTTGTCATCAGCCGCCTGGGCACAGAAACCAGTCAAAACTGCAAGCACTTTGCGGCTTCCCGGCTTGGCTAATCTCTAATGCCTGCTGACACTTCATTTAGCAACCTATGCAGGAAGTAAGGCGAAGTCTAGACGAGACATAGGCAGGCGAGGCTACAGAATCCTGATTTTGGCATGGGCTCGCTTGCGGCTTCAAAATTTGATTCAGCACTAGCGCATGGCTGTGTGCACCAGCAGTCCTCGTCTTGAATTTGTTGCAGCAGTCAGCTATGCTGGCATGTGCTAGGCTGATAGCCAGGGACGGCGATGATCTTTCGCATGAACCTCAGCATCACCGCAGCTGTGACTCCTGGCGCCGCCATCTCCGAGCGCCCGACTCCGATCTGCATTTCTGGACGGGTGGAGCCTTTGACGCCAAGGGATGTGACGACACAATGAAATCAAAGGGCAAAGCATCCGACAGATGTGCTCCAGTCGGAGGGTCCAGCGGTAGATGCAGCCCTTGCAGCTGAGCTGTTACGGACTCACTCGTCAGCATCAAGGGATCGAAGCCTTGAAAAGCTTCAGCGTCCCGGCAATTGGGACTGCCCAGTGGGATTCCTCGCATACTGGTTACATTCCCTGGAACCGCGGCAGCCGACCCGCGTCCTTGAAGTCACCAACTTTGGTCACGATCTCATTCTCTTCCCCACCTCAGTCTGCTGCTCTTTGCTTCAGTTTCATTCTCCCCACCTTTCTGGCATCACAGGCGACAGTCCTGCCGGGGGCAGTGCTAATGTCGAACTCCCTCTGGAAATCTCTTGCGGCCTGCCCTGAGCCAAGCTGAGATGCAGACTGACGAGAAAGACAAGCAACACGCGGGACAAGGCCGACATGCAAAGGGCGGCCGCTGTCGAGGAAGAGAAGGGATCTCCTGGCGAGGACCCCTTCTTCGGGGGATGAAGCAGGGCAGGGAGCAGGGGCCTGCAGATGCCTACAGCCTACAGAAGCTCCTGGCGAAAGGCCTCCAGCATCTCCTGCACAAGACAGCGTGATCTGAGAATCTGCCCATGAGCTGAAGGCTCAGACGCTAAGGCTACGGTCTCCTCTGCGCGCTCAGGTGCCCGGTGCAGACCATAAACTTTGGGTCGGCCCTGGGTGAATCCGCCATGAACGACCGGTCATGACTAAGATGCAAGGCAGAAAGGTCGCATTGTTCGCAGCTCCATCCGTCCCGTTGCACTTCGGGAAAGAAAGGAAACTGATGGCTGATCTCATCACCATGGAAAAGCATGCGTGCCTCAGAGTACGTGTAGCGCGGGTCCCAGCCACCATCGGCCATGTGTGCGACTCTAAGTTGCGTCAGCCTGGCTGCCCTGGATCTCTGATGATCTCTGCTCATGTTATCTCATGCTGCAACCTTCTACAGCTGCGCTGTGAGCCAGGGGTGCACTGGCACAGGATGGCGCAGGTGTCACCTTGTCTATCGCATTGTTGCATCCTTTACTGCATCGAATAGATAAACCTTGGCACTCTGCAGCTCTTTTACACCCCATCTCGAAACGTCGCGACCCCACCGGCACCGGCTGGACTTCTTCTCCAAGGGCTGTCGTCGACCAAAGAGACACCTGGGGTGCTTGGCCGGCAAAGAGACACGCAAAAGCGCCAGCGGGGCCGCTGCCAGAGCTCCAAGCCTCAGGTCCGACTCCTGGCGAGCCCGCACGGAGTAGGCACATGCTACAACCCCGTCCCGCCCTCAAACCCCTACGATCCCCTCTAACAGGGTTTGGCCTGAGAAGGGCGTCGACCCGAAAGGGCTGTCCCAGCCGCCGCCGAATCCTGCACACCGGCACTCTCATGAAAACCTCATGGGCCTTGTGCATCACCTTTTCTTGCAGGTTCAAGGCCTGGTGTAGGTGCCGAAGGGCTGGGTGGGGTACTGCGCAAGGACAGCAGCGCCTGAAGACAGTTGCAAGGTCTTGTAAATGCTCCTCCTGCCTGGGGTTTTTGATACACCATGCAACAACGCTTCTTCATGCATCAACATCAACCACCCATTGTTTGGCAGTGGCCTTCTGCAGAGCTTGCAGCTCACGCTTCTCCACGTCCAAGCGAGCCTGCTCTGCTTTGGCCTTCCGGGGCATTCGCTTGCCTCAAAGAGAGAAGCCTCTCAGTGCCGAGCCGGGCCTGCTCATGGACCTCTTGCGTTGCCTGCTGAAGGGCACGGCCTTGTCCCTGCGCGGAGCAAAAGCTTTTTAAGTCTTGATGCTTCTGAGGAGGCCCAGGCAGAGGAGAAGAGCCTTCTACAGGGAGGAGCCCGAACCCCAGACGTGCCCACCGAAAAGCGACTTGGAGGATCCAGCTGGAGCAGCCACAGAAGCGCCTTGTTAGCTCGTGGTCCCGTGTCTGTACACCGGTTCTCTTCCCCTATCGACAAACCTCTGCATCCGCGCCGAAGGCCCTATAAGGAACGGAGCAGATCACTCATGGACTTCTTCTTATGCTGGATGGGGCCTTGCGCAGCAGGGTTGTCCTTGAAGCTCTCGCTGCTGTCGGAGAAACATGGATAGCCGACAAAAGCGAAAGGAGTTTAAACCACTATGGATTTCCCTGGGTTCGCAGATGTCTGCGGCAGGCACAGGGAATAGAAGTCCCAATGCTCCAGAAAGAAGGAGCAACCGGGCCACGAGTTATTGGGGAAGGACACCACCTGAGGAGTGCTACTGACGTTCAACAAAGTAGCAGCGGGATCCTGGGAACTCCAAGCCGGCCAGGGAGGCAAACCCTCATCCTGCTCCAGATGGTCATACTCGCCGTTGGGATTCCCGAACTTAGCAAAATTCGCCCAGTACTTCATCATCCACTGAGACACCTTCAAGGCGGCGCCAGAAGGCGCATCCAGAGTCCCGAACACAAAGGGAATCTCGTCACCGTGGAGGACTAATCCGGAGCTGCCTGTTTCCGAGAACTTGTAGACAAATGCAGGAGATCCATGAAGCGCTGAAGAGCTTGCTATCCACTGTGCCGTGCATGAGTAGCTGAAGTCTGTCTCGCAAGCCTGAGCTGCATGGAAGTATTTCGACATCCACCAAGCTTTGCTGGTTGTTTCAGGCTGAAAGATCTTCTCCAAAGTCTGCACACGCTCTTCTCCGTAAAGGTTGGAGTAGTAGGACTGCATGGATGCTTGTGACATCGTCGCCATGGCAAAGGGGAATCCTGGCACGAACATGGCCCCATCGTTAAGATTGAAACCAGCAATCATAGGCGTGTCCTCAGGTCAATGAGTCATGAGGATGCCAACATGCACACTTAGCACTCGGTAAACAGAAGTGACAGCTTAAAGGCTTCTTTGCTCGGAGCAGGCATCTGGGCGAAGAAGGCCAGACTGCGCCAGCTGCACGGGCGTCCCCCGGACTAGCACGCCATCTACCACAGGGGCCCAAGTGCAACCATCCTTGCAGGGTACGGCATCCACCGCTTCCGCCACCACGGTTTGCGAGGCAGACACGATGCAAGACAAGAGGCTGGAAGATTTGGAGCACTTTGACGTGGATACAACCTGCTGGAAATTGGAATGCGCACCACTCAGGGTCAGATAGGTCCAGGCAGATCCAGTGCCACTCTCCATGATCCCTCGCTGGTAGAAGGGCCATGCCTCCTGCACGCCGAGCAGCAGACTGACCGAACCGGCTCCTGATGACTCTCCGAAAATGGTCACTCGATGGGGGTCCCCGCCAAACGAAGCGATGTTATCCTGAACCCACTTAAGGGCAGCGACTGTATCCAGGAGCCCGTAGTTGCCAGTGGAACCTTTTGGATCTCGCGATCGCAGAATCGCATCGCCGAGGAAACCAAAAACGCCAAGCCGGTACTGGATAGACACAACAACGACATCCTCTTGCACAGCCAGGGCAGATCCGTTGTACTGTGGATCAGATGCCGACCCACTCACGTAGCACCCACCATGGATCCACACCATCACGGCTCTAGAGCCACTTGTGCTGGGTGTCCATACGTTCAGTGACAGGCAGTCTTCCGTGTAGCCGTAGCACTTTCCCCGCGTGTAACCCTTGCAGTTCTCGGGATTGGCCGCGTAGTAATCGAAGGCCTGCGTGCAGGCAGGGCCGAAAGCTGTGGCCTGAAAGACCTGACTCCAGGGAGGCATTTTTTGTGGTGCGGCCCAGCGGAGGGCTCCGACTGGAGCCTGCGCAAAAGGGATACCCAAATATGTCTGCACTCCACTGCCCATCAGGCCCTGCACTGGACCGGATGTTGTTTGCACGATGTCCGTCCTGCCTCTCTCGGTATGAGTGTAAGCACTGTGTCTGACAGGTGGAACTCCAGTGGCTCGCTCCGGTTGTCCATCGGACTCAGGCGGCGGGAGTGGGTCGAATCTGGGAGCCTTGCAAGATTCGAAGCAGAAGCCCGGGCCGGGCTTCAGCGACATGTCCGCAGGTGTGCAGTGTCTGCCCCAGATGCACCCCGCAGCTGCGCAGTCTGCAGGATCCGGCAGAAAGCATTCGTCAGCCCACCTGCACTGATTCCTCCGGCCATCCCAGAAGCACTTGTTTCGTGTGTCGTCCCAGCTGGCAACAGCACCTCCGGTGGTTAGTTCCGTGTGGCACACATTCCATGGGCGCTGATCGCATGGCATCTCCGGCACGCAACGCTCAGCTGGAACATCCCACACGCATTGGTGCTGATGCCGAAATGCCAGGCATTCGCTGACACTGCTGTGCTGCTCGCACTGGTTCAAAGGAACATCCAGAGCATGCAGCGGTTGCAGGATACTGTGCAGTACGAGAGCGGCTGCATAAGATGCCATGGCGCACGAGCTACTCACAACTTTCACAGCGTTCCAAAGCTTATCGAGAACGCACTTGCTTCAACAATCCTGTGGTGCACAAAACCAATGAACCAACTTCTAGGGCCTCGCCGGGAGTCGACAGCTGCACCTTGTTCCTACAGTATGTAAGTCACCAAGCCAAAGCTTCGAAGGCCATGCTGTGGTCAGTTCTGATCCCCCACCCTCTGTAACTCCTGCATCGGCTTGCCTCCATGCTGAGGCTTGCCAGTTCCAGCTTCGTTAGGGACACTTCCATGGCCTGCCACGGCTCTATAGAGCAGCTGCTTGTCGATCACAGAGCTCTTGTGACCTCTGAATCACGCGAGTACTCTTCCTGCAGCCGTTGCAGGAAAAAGGCCTTTACAAGCACAATGCGCAAGATGCACTTCGACAGACCGCCCAAACTCAAGCTGTATGCCTCCTCCCGCTGCTTCCTCGCACCAGAGATCAGAAGGGCGCTCTCCTGATGCCTCCGGTGCCTCAGATCATCTGAATCTCACTGCCGCAGACAGACGGTGCTCGTTCGCCGCTCCAGCCGGGAAGCTCCAAGCGCAGCTCCGCAAGCTGCCGCTGTGAAAGATCAAGCTGCTGCATCAAGTGGCCTCGCTCGGTCTCCTGCGGAAGGACAGCAACTGAGGAACTGTGCCTTGAGCCTCAACCTTTATCTTTTGCAGCCAGCTCTCCAGCTTCTGAACTTCAGCTTGTTCGCGGCGAGCCACCTCATCTCAGACACTTGCCGCCATAGTGTATGTCAAGAGCTGAGGTGCCTTGTCCTCACGCCGACAAGCCTCCTCCAAACGATGTAACTCCTGTCGACACTCACGGAATTCCCACGCGGACGTCAGAGACACTGCCAGCCTGGCTCCACTCCGCGACATCTTGACGCAGACGCTTCACCAGCACTTGCCTTGAACTGTTTCCGGCATCTGCGACTTAGCACAGTACATGGCTACGTTCTCAAGTTGCAAAAGAAACCGTAGCTTGGTTTGCCGCCAAGTCTCTCGGCTTGCAGTAGCACCAGCAGGTGTTCTGCCGGCTGCGAACGAGGCGCAACGTTTCCGTTGGCCCCACTTTTGGAGAGCTCTGGGCGTGGCGGCGATGGCCCAGCACTGCCTTCATTAGACGGCCACCACGGCTCGGCTGCTGGCTTGCTGGGCCGAGCTTCCTGCAATGCACAGCACAGACTTCAACGTGGCATGCGAGAGCAGCACATGCCTCTTCTGCGCTGCGGTCAGGTGGCCTCATGCAAATAGCTTTGGGGTTCTCGTATTTAACTGCAACGGATCAGGTGTGCTGCGTCCTCGCCGCACTCTGAGATCAGAACCAGGCTGTTGAGTCGCGAGTGCGGAAGGGGTCCTCGAATTGACTGGCTGGGTCCTCCATGTTGACTCTGCTTGAGCCAGATCTGTCCGGAGCGCACGCATTCCGAAATGGCCGTACATCTTACCAGATGATCCCAAAAACTGGCACGATCTCAGAACAAATGAGAATGGTCGGATGGCAACGGTAGCGGCATTCTTCGACTGCACAGGCAGGTGAAGCACTCACCAAGGCACTGCGTCAGCTGCGCTGCTGTGAAACTCATCGATGCACCACAACCTTTCTCCGGAAAATGTGGGGAGTGACATTATCTTTGAGCCTGGACTCGGCAGGCTGAGGCTGGTTGGAGTTCCGATGCTTTTTTTTTGTGCTACCCAAGGACTTGGAGTCGAGCCCGACGAGTCCCAGCCTATTGCGACGCATCAGGGGGCACCGGGGGCACCATGTTCTCGACTTCCTTCGCGGCAAAAGGAAGCGTGGGCCAGAAAGGGCGGTGGGCTGCGGGCAGGCTCATCCTGATTGATATCGGCAATGGACGAGTTCGCCTTGCCGAGATCCTGCAGAGATCTGCTCAGAGGCCACCGCTCTTCTTTTCCAGGCGCTGGCATGTGCTGGCCTCGATGGAGGGACCCGCAACGTCCTCATCGATTCCTCACAGCGCAGAGAAGCGTCAGCTGCGGCTTCAGCTTCAAGTCTCTTCAAGTCAAGCGGATCTCGGAGTCGAGCCGGAGTCCCACGCAGCTCCTCGGCTCAGTCAGGCCCGTGTCCCTACACCGCGCTGGAATCGCACCTCCAATCCCAGGCGCGCCTGGTGAAACACCCAAGCACTGCCAGGACGCTAGGAGGAAGAGCAGGGATGGGAGTAATAAGGAGAAAGAAGGAGAAAGCAAGCGACAACGGAGACTCTCAATCATGGCCGTGGCCTCCGTCCCTCTCGTAGGCTTGCACCACCTCCTGCGCTCCCGCACATGATGCGTCGCTTCCATAAACTGCTAGAATCTAGAACAGAGCAGATCTCTGTACCGCCTGCAGTTGGGAAGCGACCACGGAGCCCACCACCTGGCCGCCGGCCTCCTTCAGGAAAAAGGGGAGGTTTGCGGCGACTTTTCCTCTGTTTTTGGAGCCCAGCTCTGCCTCGGAGGCATCGGAGCCACCCTCGAAGTCCATGTTCTCAGGGCTGCTCCACCTGACATACGACGGCATGGCACACTCTGCGCATCCGCTCAAGACCGCACCTCGAGCTGAGACCTGTCTCCAAGATGCTGGCCATGGCCTTTCCGGCAAGGACTCGAGGTCATGCGTTATCATGCTCAGAGATCTCAGAGGATAGAATCCGAGCAATGCACCGCACTGCACTCCTTAGGACAAATTCTTCGTCTATCGTCGTGTCCGGGAGTGACTCGCTAAACCTTATAGTTGCGCTCCTGGTCTGTCTCGCAATGAGCTTGCTCTGAGACCTCAGCATCAGGGCGCCAGCTTTCAAGCCCCAGCGCTTTTTTGGATTCTGCAATGTGCCAACCGTAACTCCCCCCTCCCCCCTTTTTTCTTCCGCGGCCAGCCCGACCCGACCTCTCGCGCAGCAGCTCCTCGCTCTTGCCTCGCTCCCTCGCTCAGAGGGAGGTGCTCTCCTTCGCAAGCTCGGGGACCTCCTCACTCTCCGTCCTCGACGAGTCTCCCTGCGCTCGGAACCTGCAAGCGACAGAATAGGGAGTTGCTTCAAGGCTTTCTCTAAGAACCAGCTCTGGGTGCCTTCACGTGCTTGCGTGCTCAAAGCCCAAGCAGCTTTCGTGTCTGGTCTGAGAAGACCTTATGCCGGCACCCGAAACATGGCACAGAGAGACCATAGGCACTGCGCAGGTCGAGCCTGCGAAGCCAGGCTGCGTGGAAGAAGCCGGGTGAACACCAAGTGAACGAGCTTGTTCAAGGGCCCCGTTACCACCCACGAATTCCTGACCGCACATAGCACTACACGACAGCAAATGGCAAGCAAAAGCTCGATTCCACCAAGCCAGTGCATGCCTGCTAGGGTGCACGGCTGGCCGGGTGCCGGGATGCAAGGGGCCTGCCCAGGTTAGCCAGGCACTCCGAGACAACTTCGTAGGGCTCCTGCAGGAAGCGTAACAGGGAGAGCTGAGTCCCACAACGTGCTTTTGAGGCAACCTGCACAGCGACCGCGAGCCCCGACACTCGGCAAGTCGTCGTTCCTGGCTTCCTTTCCGGACGTCCTTGTTACTTGTTACCTGTCGCTTGCGCCGGATACAGAAAATTCGGGCAGCATCTAAGGCTGAAGGGTGAATCGAAATGTGGACGTTGGTTTGAATGCGGCATCCTCCCCATCACGGTGACGTCTCCTTGGGCCGAGCCAGCTCGGCAGACCTGAAGACCCTGTCACAGATGCCGCAGCCCTGCGGACGACTGCAAAGATGATGAGAAGAGTTGTCTTCACACGGTACGTAGTAAACGAGTCTTCTCATCATCAGATATCATCAGCACCGAAGAACTGCCGCCCCCCAGCCTCAACTTCCTCATGGACCCACCGGAACCCGAACACGGCAGCAACTAGCTAACGCAAGGAATCCGAAACGCTCTTGACTTGTTCGTGTTGAGCGCACGAGTCCTGCTCTATGTACGTGTTCCTTGCAGTCTCCTTAGCCACCACTTTCAGATTTTGCTGCAAGAGTGTCGAGATCGATGTCTACAAGAACAGCTCAAAGCTCCCACCCTTGCTGCCAAGAGTCTTTGGAAATGGCGCCAAGGTAGGTCGGAGTGACCGTGGCTCCAGCGAGGCAAGCCATGGCATCGATTCCTCGGGCAGAATCGGTTCGAATCGGTAAGTCTGAAATGCCCAGACTTCTACTCATTGGATGTCCTGTTCCACTTAATTCGATGTTCAAGGCCTGTGCAAACGTCGTGATGTAGGCCTGCAGACGACAGGAGCACGACTCTGAGCAGCAGTGCAGCTTTTTGTCTGTGGTCTGTGTGCAACATGGGACAAGCCGGCCGGTCCGAAAGGCTCTTTCTCAACTCTCAGGATTTCGAAGGGTGAACGTTAGGAGCCCGTCTGGAAGCTCGCCTTGGAGGCAGCATAGTTGGCAATGAAGGCACCACCTCTCAGGGCCGCAGTCTGGGGCTCATCTCCCAAGGGCCATGAAAGCACCCTTGCACCGAAGGCTCTCGCTCTCACTGTGGATAGAGCTTTGCTTCGGCCTATTTCGCCTGCCAGAGAGGACATCAGCACCATGCCGCCTGCAGCACCTCCCAAAGTGGCTAGGTGCTGGCACAGTCAAGACACCTGGCACTTCCGAGCCTTGCTGTGATAGGTGGTTTCCGAAGACGTGCACACTGGTCAGCATGGCCAGGATGTTGACATCGATCACGGTCTTGGACTCACCTGTGCGAAGTAAGACGAAGCAAGCTTCAGTTACCAAACCGGGCCACAGGTCCGGCACAAGTCCAGCCTAAGCCACCATCCAGAAAGGTGCCACGCGGCCCTGAGAAAGCTGCGTTCACGACCAGGAGCCGGACCTGAACCGCAACACGGAGGGAGCCTTCGCCCTTCGCCATGCCGCAGAGGAAAAATCACCGGCCTGATGTCTTTCCAGGGTCTCCAAGAGCCAGGTCTCCGTGAGGTTCGCCAGGTCTTGGGTCCAGGTCTCGATCTGCGAAAGATCGCTCGGCTGCGCAAAGCGTTGCTAAATTTGATGGCTCGCCAGCCTCGATGTCCACCTTGCTAAGCAGTGCCTCCTTCAACGTCTCCATCGGCTTCGGTTGCCTATCGAGACGCTTTCGCAACAGAGGCCGTGCAGAATCGCTACGGAAGCCTGGCCACCAGGATCAGGTTCAGCTTTAGGGCCGCCAGCTGATGTGCCCACGCCTCTCACACAGCACTTCAGAATCCACAGCACTTGCAGTCACTTGCACGGCAGACCAGTGAGCAACATGCCCTTATCTCAAGCGGGGAAGCCGAAGCACACACGGCTCCAACGAGGCTGTGACGATTGCCACCGGTGCTCGCAATACCGCAGCTATCACACGCTGCAAGTCCGTGCATGACATCGCGCAGCTTGGTCTTCACGTTCTCGCTGCCAGAGCAGTCGTTCTGACAGAGCGGGGCCGACTCGGAGCACCTGCGGCGGCCACCCAGCTGAGCAGCTGGCTGTCGCTTCTGACTCTTGTCGTTGTCCATCCAGCGTTCATTCCACGTCCATCTCCATCAAATTGCTCTGGATTTCTTCGAAGGTCAATGTGCCATTCTTATCGCGGTCCATGGTCTGAAATAGTTTATCAATCTTCGCTAGCGTCTCAGCAGACACGAGGCCCTCCCGTATCAGGATGTATTTCTGGAACTCCTGGCAATCAGCAGGACATCTCGCAAGAGCATGTCCTACCCAAAGGGCAGTTAGTGAACAGAAAGTCCTAAAACTCATTGTCATGTTTTGTACATTGTTGCACAAATTAATTTCCGACGACTCCCCAAGCATGGTACATGGGCGCCTGGGCCCTGATTTTCGGGTTCCTTCAATAGGCAAGATCGAAGAACCTTACAAGATGAACTCCTGCTGGTCAATGGTGCCGGTTCCATCAGTGTCAATGCTGTCAAAAAGCGTCCGGGTCATGAGGGGGCGCTTCTTCGCCAGAGAAGTGATGCCATGCAGAACTTTCGACACCGCGCCAACCACGTTCCCGAAGGACAGAACACCAAGAATCATCCATATGGAGCCGAAGAGCCTTCCCGCGCGACTCTTCGGTGCATAGTCACCAAATCCGACAGTCGAGAACGTAATCACTGCCATGTACACCGCGTCGACGGGTCTTTTGGTGTATCCTCCTGTCTCTTCACATCTGTCACTTACGCAACCTCCGATGTGACTGGAACCGTAGGAGCAGGAGCAGCGTTCTGCTGTAAAGAAGAACATAGCCCAAGTGACAACGAAAAAAAGATAGATGGCAACAGCCGTCCCCAGCTGACGCCGAGCCGAAGGCTTTGCAGGCCGCTTCTTCTCGACGTTCGTCAGCTTGTTCTCCACGTTTTGCAGGGACTCCTCTAGGCCGTGCTCCGCACTGTGCAGCAAGCTGTCAAACAGGCTATTCACGATGTTAGCGACGATCACCGTGCCCAGGAGCACGTAGCAAGTCATGAAGACCTTCCCCCCATGACTAATGGTGACATCACCATAGCCCACTGTAGTGATGATCTGTACCACGACATAGAGGGATGTCAAAGGCGTCCAGTCCTGCCCAAGGGTCAAGACCAGAATACCCGCGGAAAAATACAGCGCCAGCAGCAGGGCGTTCATCGTTCGAGGCCTGCGAGCGCAGCCCCGAGCGCAGCGCAGAGGCATCGGCAGGACCTCCTCGTCCGAGTGCGAGTCGGCATCGGAGGATGATGAGATCTCGGAGCAAAGGGAAACGGAAGCCATGGCAATTGGCTCGCCCCCTGCTCACGGCTCTTCACTGCTCCAAAACATGCTCAAAAACCATATACCACATGCTTCAGCCTGAGCCAAGACCGTGATCACAGCTCAGCAGCATCCCAACAGGAGCTACGGTGTTCTGCGGCGTCCCTATTGGCCTCGCCCAGACCGTGGCTGCCGCCCAGCACCAGGGCCCATTGCCCCTGCTTCACATAGCCCGCCGCCGAGGTGCTGAGGTGTCCTGGAAACATCGGGCAGATGCTCCCAAAAGCCTCTGCCCACACTCGCTACGAGTAGCAGCCTTAAGTTATGATACTCGATTCTTTCCACAGTCTCTTTCTTTACCTGCTACGTGTTCTTGCCACTGGTCCGAGTGTCATTTGGAACGCAGTGGGTCAAGGAATGCCTGCCGCCAAGATTCGGTGCGGCTGCAGCAGGTATGCGACAATGGCTGCCACGATAGCAAAGACCCGAAAAATCATCCTGGCACCCCCGAACTCGCAAGCAGCAGAACTAAATACCACGTCAAGCTAGCAACATGAAAGTTGAAGCTTCGACCCTACAGGGCATGCAAAGCAGTGACATCAATCAGCGTGCCCCACTCCTGCGAGTGACCCATGCTGGCAACATGGCTCTAGCGCACTTGTAGGAAGTAAAGACTTGGACAAATGTCAAAGAAGAATTTGATGATGCCAAATCTCCCTTCATGCTGGCTTGGCTTCGCAATGGCTGCCTCACGGCGGGCTGTTTCATATATTCGCATTGCACATGTCACCCAATTTTTCAGGTTTTCAGACTTCAGAGAGTGTAGCTCGGAACCTGGCTTGCCCTGCCAGATTGGACGGCGTCCTAAGCATGGCGGCAAGGCCCACAGCGACATTGAAACTCGAATCTTCGTGCAGGTGAGCCACTCAGTCAAGCGACTGGGAAGAGACTCGTCCTCGTCACAGGCCACGCCGACGTTAGTAAACACTGCAGCTTCACCCAAGACATGCAAGGCAGACCGCTGCATTTGCTAAAGTTCAGCAGTGCTGATCTGATGTCCACTGTAGACCGTGCCTGCGCAGCTGCTAGAAGCTGCTCCATCAGCAGGGGGTCCATGGCATCCTGGCAGCAAGATAGGGACCGAGAACCTGACCCAGCATCACAAATTACTACGGCGTTGACCGTTAATTGAAATCTTGGCCAACGAACTTCAAGGGATTCATTGCAGAATTTTGTCCAAACATTCACAGTCTGTCTATTCCAGCTGGCACAACCACACACTCAAAGAGCCTCTTCAACCGAAGATGTCTATCAATCGAGAACTTCGAGATCTGAGACCGCTCTGCACAGCCACGTTTCAGGCAATTTCTGTCCGCATGCAGGCCCTGCCTGACTGGAGGGTGCCCTCAGTATGGCGTCGCAGTATGGAACGTGAAGACCCCTCCTTCGCATGCCTCGGACCCACTCAGAACTTATCGCAGACGAGCCACTCGGTCAGGTGACACGGAAGAGCATCGCCCTGATCATCCGCCTCCAAGAATGAAACGTTCACAGTGCCCACCTAGGTCACTGGTTCAACGTGCAGACAAGTTAGGTCACGGTGCAAGCTAAAACACTCCACAGACGATCGCACCGCGCCAAGAGATTAGCTTATCTTGATCATGCGCCGCCTCGCAACAAGTACTTCAATCTAACACACATCTCCCTCACTCGGCTCTCATCAACCCATTCGTCTCGCAAAGTCCAGCCCACTGTTCGTCAAGAGACATTTAGCCGAAGATAGATCTCACCGTCTGAACTGCACACCCCAGCGTACGTCCCCTGGCAAGACGAA